CCTATTAGATGAAAATATGGGATCCAAGTTTGATAACATTGGCATGAATGCCATGGCTAACAAAGATAATGCAAGTAAGTACCTTGAATTTTTTATTGAGGTTTCAAAATAGCCTTGACTTAGAACTTCTGAATATGTAAATATTCTTGGAGGGCCTTTTTTTTTTTTTTTTCTAGTACCTTACAAGCTGGGCAGAATGTAGGATTAAAAACTACTTAGACAGGGGTTGGCAACCAATGTCACAAAACAGTATGTGTATTAATTGTTTAATGAGAAACTAATTTTCTCTGTAAACCTTCATCCAAAGCACAATCAAAGAAAAAAAAAAGTATTTAAACTACCTACCGCCTTTTTAAAAGTTGTATGAGTATGCCAAATAAAGACATTTTAATTATTTCAGATATTAAAAGTTACTGGTTTCTACTTTTTCACCTGTACAAGCGTTCAGGGGAAAAAAATCTTTAGGGCATTTGTTCCCTTCCTTTCATAGTCTTTTACTTGTAAAGTATGAATCTTGGACAGTAAAAAATGATTAAGAAGAAAAGCAACAAACAGAGGATTTTGCGTAGTGGGTTGGAAACAAGCTGCAGGCCATGGCAGGCCAGGAGTTCCCATTCAGGCAGATGTTCTGTGGAACCACCAATAGTGTCCAGTGTCTTGGGCTCATCTTTCTTCTCTTTCTTCCAAAGGTCTCAAACAGCTTAAATGGGAGGCTGAACGTGATGACTGGTCCTAATTTTTGCTGTTTAACCATTTTTCTTGATCTTGCTCTCTGATTCCATACATTCCAGATTGTTCGATGGATTTGTAATAAACTTCCAAGATGAAGGGAAATTTCTTGTTCATTGTTTGTCTAAAAACTTGGCTTGTGTTCATTTTATTCAACAAAAAATAAGCTCCAAAAATACCCATAAGTTCAGCTACTAAAACTCCTTGAAAGATCTTCTTTGCCAGTGGTTCCATAGTACGGGCCATCCTAAAGTGTGCACGTGGGAAGAGGGTCTGCCTATTTCCAGTGTTTTTTTTTTATCTGAACAGTTTTATTAGGATATTAACTTTAAAAAGTACGTGCTAACTCTTAAATTATATTTGTCTTTAAACGTTAGCTATTTAATGGGGCTACAGGATAACTGCAGTTGTGTGTTTTAAGCCAAATGAAATATTTTTTAACAAAACCATGTTGAAAGATGTAGATTTTCCCATAAATCATTGGATTTTACAGCTGAATAATCTAGGCTTGTACTTTTCTTTTTTTAAGGACCAAGGCAAAAAAAGAAAAGAAATTTCAATGACTCCAGCTTATTTGTATCTGCTGAAGAGGTAAGGTTAA